ATAACTATTATAGACATTTCTGAAACTTCAGACTCAGTATAAATAGCTTGGAATTGCACATGCCTAAACCATAAGCCTTTTAGAATCTGTAGCATGCATAACATGTCTGAGGGAAAATGAGATCCTAATATGCTGCATTTCATATCTAAGGATATCCATGACTGTAGAGCACATGAGTTGCCCTAGTAGTGGGTACAGATTTGTGTTAATTCAGCATGACTTTATCACTCACAGATACAGCCAGCAATGTATGTGTGGCTGTTTGGGGTTTGGAGGGAAGTGGGGATATACAATGCTAACCAAATTATATGAACCCAGGGGAATGTAAGCTCTACAAGGCAGACAGTTTCATTTTTGACTTTGTATCCCTGGTATACAGTAGGCACTTAATAAGTGCTTCTTGAATTTAATTGAAACGGGAATTGAACACAAACTCATTAACTCTCTAACTACCTGAGCTACCTAGTCTCCTAGATGGGCTTACATCAGTCAATATAAATTTCAAGAGTTCAATTCTTTCCTTTCCATAAAATATAACTTTTGTTTGTTCTGTAGGAAGGACTTCACATTACATGCACTAGAAACTCTAAGATATAAAATTACCAAATAGTTGACTAACATAACACTGACTCAATGCAACTTCTCAATAGTATTAATGCTGTGAATAAAATAACCAAAAACATTTTAAGTGCACCTACTGGCCTGCAAATAATCATCTTAATATTTATGGTTTAAAAAAAGGCATAAATACACCTAAACCCTGTATTACTTATGGAATAACTAATAAATTCCCTTTCTCCATTAGATATGACAGTCTCAAGGGCTCTAATTTTGGCAATTAGAGTTAATAGAAAGAGAAATGAAATAAGAATCAGAAGACTTCAGTTATGAAATAAGGAGTCTGGATGACATAATCTCAAAGGTCTCTTTCAGGCCTACTACCATTATCCCATGATCTCAGTTGTACAGACCCAGTTTTGCCACAGACTAGCTGAGTTATTTGGGGTATTGCAAAATGCCTGCTTTAGGCCTCAGTTTTCACATTTGTAAAATGAGAGGATTGATTAGCCAAGAGGACCCTTAAGATCCCTTACAAGCAAAAAAATTTATGAATTTTGTTCCCTGTCAAGCCTACATAAATGTGTGAAAAATATAAATGAAAATATTACATGATTAGACCACACCAAGATATAACTATTAAACCATTCAAATTAAAACACTACCGAAGCTGGTTTGATTTATTTTATAACAACAATATGCAATACAAGAATAGAAAATTAATTGTACATGATAGTCAAAAAGAGCTATTTGTCCTCTATGCAAAGGTGAAAGGATCTCATGCACAGTACAGGGAACATATTATCTTAAACCAATTATTTCTAGTGTATCAATCAAGTATACTGTGACCAGTGGTGCTGACAGATTTTAAAAGAAGCCTGTCAAGGCATTTTTCCTACATTACTTAGAAATGTAATTCCCTCCCTTCCAAAATGCTCTTAAAGAAAGAATAATCTGATTCTTACCTAATTTATTTCTTTTTTTCATTGTGTAATGTTGTTCTGAAGACTGGAAGAGGCTTAATAGTTTTGGGGGCATGAGGAAATCCTAAGTCATCTAGCTTTTTATTTCTACAAATATAAATGCTGTCTCTTAACATGAAATCATAGGTTATGAATGAATATGACAAAATAAATAAGAAAGACATATAAACTAGCATTTTATCTGTTAACACAGTGTACAGGATAAAGTTAAAGTGTATAAATAATAGGAACATTAGACTAAAGGGCTTACTTCATGAAAGGATTGCGAATACCCAAGGATATGATTTACCCCACTCTTCCTTTTAAACCTATGTTGACAAAAAAAGAAAGAAAACAAAAATATTACTCCTTCTAATTAAATGTTCAAATAATTACAATTTGGGGACAATGAAGAACTTTAAGTACCATCACAGTTATCTGTTCTGATAATTTATACCAACAACCTTTTTTTTTTTTTTGGTTGGTAGTTTATTTTCATTTACAAAGTCAGGTCAAAAATATTTAAATTCTCACTTGAAAGCCCTCAACTACTCTTAGTTACTCAATGCTCTATGTAGCCACCATTTATTTATCCTTCTGGCAGCAAAATTATGACAAAGTAGTAAGTGGAAATGCCAAAGGAAATGAGAAAAAGAAGTTATTTCATTATTCTAAAATTTGTGCCATTTATAATGGAGACTTATTGGATATCTAATGGCATTTAAATTGAGGCAATTACCAAGTACTTAAATATGTAAGAATCTCAATAATTTCATATAAAGGAACTTTGTAAAGAATGAGTTTTTCACTTTTGCCTCTGAAAACTGTTACTCTTAGAAGTGTTCTATAAACAACATTTATAAAAACCAAATGCCTACGATTGTTCTAAATGCTTATATATACACTGATATCAATGAACACAAAACTTAGAAAATAGCAGCTATACGCATTACAAATATACTTAAGATTTTCGTTTCATTTTCATCTTATCCCATATTTCTTCACATTTATTGAATTTACATAACTGCTATCTTCCAGAGAACTCAGGGGAATGTATTTATTATAGGTTTTACATTATACAGTATTAACTTTTCGGTCAAACACGATTAATAGTTCTAATATGATACCATTAACTTTCAGGTAATAAGTACTGTTTAATGTTGAACATTAGACTATTGGAGGCCATGCATGTGGTAGGAAAGAAAATGAGGTGGGAGGCGGGGAGACCAGGAAATGTACACAGGGAAGGAAATGATTACATGAAAAGGAAGCAAATAATGTTAACTTGTAACAGGGCTAAGGTCTTGCTTTATAAAGACTTTGATTCTCATACAAGCAGTCAGATGGACAGTGCCAGGCGTGCTGTCTACTATCCAGCATCACTTCCTCGCTCACTAATACAGCCAGCAATGTATGTTTGGCTGGTTGGGGTTAGGAGTGAAGTGGGGATACATCAAACTAACTGAATCATACTAACCCAAGGGAATGTAAGCTCTAGAAGGCAGATGGTTCCATTTTTGTCTTTGTATCCCTAGTATACAATAGGCACTTAATAAGCGCTTCTTGAATTTAATTGAAATGGGAATTGAACATGACTTCATTAACTCTCTAACCACCTGAGCTACCTAGTCTCCTAGATAGGCTTATATCAGTCAATATAAATTTCAAGAATTTAATACTTTGCAACCTGAATCTTCCTCCAGTTGTTAACTACTGATCCACACCTGTGCTTTCATCTGTCTAGGGAACTCTCAGTGAACAACATCTCCACCCTCCCCCCACAAATCAATGTAGATTAGTTTAAGCAAGTTGCTCAGGGCATTGAAAGGTTAAGAGATTTCCTCAGGGTCACACAGCTAATATATGTTGGAGGCGGAACTTGAACCCAGGCTCTCCTGACTCAAGACTGGTCCTTTATCCATTATATCACTTCTGGACTTCTATTATTTCCACGTAAAAATATGGCACAAATTAAATCATTCCTTCTGACAGATGCTACAGCAGACAGTTCTGACATTTGTTTCCCATACAATTATGGATTTGTTGCATTCCTGAACAACTCAGTGGACTTAGTGATTTGCCTAAGGTCTCTTACAGAAATTTATCTTTAAGTATAACTTTACAAAATTATACTGTGTTGTAATTAATGAGATGTCAATAATTCAGGCAGTCCAAGTATTTCTTTCCTTCTTAGTGAATAGGGGCTCACTGGCCACAGATATGAATCTCTAGTGAACATTTTAAATGAATGGCAAAAACAACACATTTTGCTTTTCAAAAGTAATCATGGTTCTGAGATATAGCTCAAAATTAAAGAATTGATATTTCATAAAAATGTATCATTATTAAACTATTTGAGGTAGTTTGAAATGTTTTACTCTGCATTTATATCATTATAAACAATAAACTGAAACTAATCTACTTGGCCCTATTTTGAGAATGTAACTGATTTAAACTCTAAGAAGTAAGCTGATGATCTCTGAAACATAGGTTTGCATAAAACACCAATTCTCAACTTCTGTCTCATTTATCAAAACACAAAAATCTATAATTATTCCATATGCATCACATTGATGAAAACAACCACTTTGAAGCACAGAAAAAAGAACCCTGAGACTAATACAAGCTAGTTTAATTAACTAAATTTAATGACATCTTGTAAGTTAAATTGGAAAAACTTTATATAATAAATTAGAGATTAATTAAGAGGATTCCCTTTAGGGCTTAAATTCTTATGGTAGCTATAGAACAGTGACAGCTACCTAGTCTTTTGAAAACAACAGGCCAAAGATTATAAACAATGGAGCTATATTAAATTATTTGTAACAAACCATCAATATTTAGCATAGAATAAAAACCAATGATGATCTTAAACACCAAGTTATAATGGAAAGTTTTTTTTAACTCAAAATTAGAATGTTAAATTTAACACTAATAGGAAAATCTCATCTGTTCCTGATATTCCAAATGATAAAGAATTTACTTTTGTCATCTGCATCATCTAAATCAAATTCTAGGGGCTCCTGTCCTTCAGAAAGTAGTCTCTTCAAATATCAACTTATGTAGGATTTACACCCCTAACTCCTTCCAACAGAGATTTTAAGAAGGTCACTTCTTCAAATTCATATTGGCTAAAGTCAATAAGGAGAACAAAAGATCCAAGCACTAAATAGACTTACCTGAGGGTCACTTAATCTCTGGACCTCAGTTTCCTCATCTTTAAAATGAGGGAGCTAGACTAAATGGCATCCAAGGTTCCTTCAAATAATCAACAAGCATGCATTAAGTGCCTACTATGTACCAGGTATTTGATAGACATTAGAGATAATAATACAAAAATGAGATAGGTCACAGGACAGTTTTCTAAATGTACCTGGGCTTCCTGAAACATTTTACCGTATACATGCTCCAGTCTAAATTAAAATTTCTATTCCAAAAAAAAAAAAAAAAAGAAAACAAAAACAAGAGAGGAATAGCTATTTAGTTTATTTTGTGATATTGGAAAATGTAAAAAAAAATTATATTTTAAAATACTCCATCCCATAATGTTAAGATGTACTTTAAAGCTGTTCCACATTTACAATTTAATTTTTTTTTCAGTCTTTCTGAGTGTTTCACCTCCTGCTCTGAGACCCCAAGGAGTGATTTCACTGACAGAACTTTATTTATAATTAAGCTCCAAAAGCAACTTCATTAACATTTGGAGAGCAGCAAATTCAATTTGGTTTACTGTAGAGAAATTATTATCCAGCCCTACTTTATATTGCTCTTGAAAATCTAGTTCTGGGTTAGTAGACACCAACTTTTTGGCCAAGAGAAGGCAGTTTCACATAAATATTCACAGTCAAGACATCTAGAATCTCTTAAATCTAACCAGAACAATATTTCAAAAGGAATCTCTAACTTCAGTCTATATAATAATTGTTCAGGCTATGCAATAAAGATGGCAACATGAATAATGATTAGTTTATTAGTCTGAACTAAAACTAGTCAAGCTATTTTTCCCTTACAAAGTCTAATAACAACAGCATACATAACTTTGACACTGCTGTAGTTCTTTTAAGAACCTTTATTGAATTTTTTTAACAATTATTTTTTTTGAATCTAGATGCAGTTTATATTTAAAAAAAATAACTTGATGTAGCTTCATGTGAACTGCAGTCAAAAGCAACTTTTTTTCAGAGAAACTTCCTTTTTCAAAGAATCTGTCTGAGGTTGGGAGTTATCTTTTGTAATATGCAGAACAGTTACTGTAGGCATGCATGCTCTCTAATTGTTTGCTCCTCTGTGCACTACTGAAGGGGAAAAAAAAGCTTTCTAGACTCTGCAGGCAGTTTATGGAATAAAATTGTTTTCTCCGCAATTTTGGTACACAAGAATAAAACCAGCATTGACAAATAAAATACGTTCTCAAAAAAGTTGAGGCAGCTTTTGTTGAATGGTATATACAATTGCTACACCTTGTACTGAACTGTGAGAAAACCAGATTGCAAGAAGTCCTCAGTCACGATGAAACTTGAAAAATCCCTCCAAACAGGTTTGAACAAAGTTCCAAGAACAGGTGGAGAGTGGGTGGGAGGAGGGGGGACAGCATGTCTCTTTCTGTACAGCCAAACACTGTGTGTAATTGTCCTTGTCTTAAGTTAACAGAAAACACCAGAGAACTCTACATATAACATGGAGGCATAGTTCCTGCATGGCTTTCCATCAGTCTGTGGTTTCTGTAGTGAAGGGTGGAGGGTGAGCAAGCCTAGGGTGTTGTAAAGCTTAAGTCTACATCTCATGCATAGCTGTTGTCAACTCTGCTTTCTTCAGGATTTTTAGACATCTGAATTGGAGCTGAGGTTTGTTAACCTGGGGTCCGCATTGATTTCATATCTGTAGTGATAACCTTCCATGTGATCCCTGCAGGCATCTCTGATGTTATATAGCCATTTTTTTATGCCTTTGCGGTTCAAATACAAAACCAGTAAGAAAATTGCTCCAATAAGGGCTAAAACTATCCCTAGAAAGACATAAGAAGTCTGCAAAGGGTCTAGAGGAGGTGGGCCACAGTCCAGGTCAGAGCTGTTCAGTTTCACCAAGGGACGGTTCCTCATCTTCTCTGGGAAGAAGCAGGAGAGGGTGGCTTTGCCCTCTACTATATTAGTTTCTTTAAGCCAGGCCACCATATCAGCCAGGTTACAGTCACAGAGCCAGGGGTTGCTGTCTAAGTTGACCCTCAGGCTGGGCAGAGCCTGTAGCTGGGCCAAGGTAGCATTATACAAGGTTTTGAATGCATTGTTCCCGAGGTGGAGAGTTTCCAGTTGCGTTAGGTTACCTAAGGCCAGGTTGCCCAGACCCACCAGCGAGTTGTTGTGGAGGTCCAAGTGCTTGAGCTTGGGCAGGCCGGAGAACATGTCCCGGGGCAGGTAAATGAATCTGTTGCCGGACAGCTCCAGGCGGAGCAGGTTGCCCAGAGCGCCTCCACTTTGCAGAGCGGCCGCCACCATGCCCACGAAGCTCCGGTTTTGTTGCTCCCAGTGTTCGGGTGGCAGAATTTCGTTCAGAAACAGCTCTGCGAGGGGACTCCGACCCAAACCGCTGGCATTGCTGTCGCCGCCGCCGCCACCAGAAAAGGCGACGGGGCTGAGGACTGCCAGCGGGTTGTGGCTGAGGTCCAGCTGGCGCAGGCTGGGCAGGTGCTTGAAGGCGCCAGCGCTCACTTCTTGCAGGCAGCTGCCGCTGAGGTTGAGGGCGGCTAGCTCGGCCAGGGGCGGCCGTGAGGCGAAGGCAGCGGCCGGCAGTACTGCCAGCTGGTTGCCTGTGAAAAAGAGGGTGCGCACATAGCGGGGCAGGTCCCCCGGCACCTCGGTCAGGTTCCTGTTGACACACTTGACTGTCCGGGCTGCCTCAGAGCACTCACAGGGTGCAGGGCAGTGGCCAGGGGGCGGCGGAGGAGGCGGCGGCGGCGGCTGAGCCGACACTGAAGAGGATGTAGAAGATGAGGAGGTCGAGGAGGACGACAGAGACGACAAGGAGGTGCTGGTGGACGAGGAGACCCAGCCCAGGAGGAAGAGCAACAACCGAGCCAGCCGCAGTCTCTGGTCCCTGGCAGCGGTGGCGGCAGCAGAGCCCCGGGCGCACCCCCCAGGCATCGCGCTTAGCTGTCTATCCTGGGCTGCGCTGGGGGCGCTCCCCACTAACTAAGCGGGGCGCCAGGGGCTGGGGCTTGTGGCTGGAAGGGGCTTCCGGGAAGTCAAGACAACTTGCCTTTGTGAGTGCAACAGCTCCCAGGGAGGCGGGAGGGACGCCACAACCTAGACGCCTACAGAGGCGCTACAGCCCCCCCCCCCCCCCCCCCCCCCCCCCCCCCCCGAGAGAGGGCGCACTGCACCGGCCGGTGTGTCGTCCCAATACTTTCCTTATCCCTCCTCTTCCCGCCGCCGCGGGTGGCACTTCTTTGGCTTTATTGTGGCCGCTGCTCCCAGCCAGTATCCACAGCTCGACCTGGGACAAGAATTAGAAAAGGATGAGGAATCAGTGCTGGTGGCACAGTCTAGGAATTGACACTCTGAACGCGGGACGTGATAGACTTGTCAGCTCCTTCTCACCCCTGGAAGCCACCCTCCTGCAACCCAGACCTGGACACAGGGTGTATCACCTCCCCCAACCCCAACGCACATTTCTTCTCTCTTCCTTTCCCCTTCCCCCTACTGGTTTCCCAGCCTGTGGGACTTGGGACTCAAATTCCCAGATTATATAGTCTGCCTTCCTCCTCCACTTTGGACCAGACTCGTCCCCTTGGGTCTAACTTCATTGGAAGTCCCCCAGCCCCTCTTCTTCCAAACTTCTCTGGTCCGCTCCTTTTTACTTTTTTCCCCAGCCGGCAACCTGCCTGCCTTCTGGGGGTCTCCACTATGGCCCCTGACTCCTCTGGGTCCCTAGTGAGGGAAGTTTCAGATTACAAGAGGCTTTTGATCTCTCGCGCTCCCTTGGCTTTGCCGGGTTTGTGGAAAGGGGATGGGGAGAGCGGGGGGTGGAGGAAAGAGGCTAAGGTCTGGTGCAGCTGTCTCCCTTCCAGCTCCCTCCTACCCCTCCTCCCGGGTTGCCCCTTAGGTCCCGGCCCCTCCTGAGTGAGGCTGGAGAACAAAGCTGCAAAAAGGGGCTGGGCAGAGTGAATCCGGAGAGCCACTACCACCTTCCAGCCGGTCCCAGGGTGGAGAGGATGAAAGGGTCGCCTCCTCTAGAGGTCTTGCCCTACTCCCGGCACACAGGCTCCGTTCCCGCTACTCACCACCTCCCAGTCTTGCCCCTGCGCCTCCCGGTCAAACTCAGCCTGAGTCCCGCCTGAGTCAGAGTGACTTCCCCCGCACAGCCGGCGCCGACTCTCCGCACACCCCAGCCCCTGGCCCAGCCTCCGCAGCAGGGAAAAACCAATGGCGAGGGGGTATGGGGGGGGAGAGGTCGGGGCCCACTTGAATAGACTTCTACACAGCTTCCACAGCTGCTTGTGGACGCCGTGCTTAGGTGGGTACACGTAAGTAGCATTTGGGAAGGAGGGTCCTTGAGATGTACGTCCTCCTTTCCGTGAAAATTAACCACGGATTTGCAGACAAAGGTGAGAGAACTCCTTTCCCAGTCTCCCCCTCCCGGGCATTCTTCCCTTGTTCCTCATTTTGCATATTGTACTTAACTGTGGAAAGGAACCAAACCTCTGCATTTGCATGTGTAGCTCACACTAAGTCCTCCACCTATAAAGGAGCAACTGACTGTAGATCCCAGACTCTAAGAGAGGACTAAACGAGAAAAAGGAAAGAAAAAAAGGAAATAACCTGAACAAATACAAAGAAAGCCACACAGTGTGGAGCATGCTGAGAGACTGAGACAGTGGGACTTTAAGGTTGCAAACTACGGGGAAAGAGTTTTTGTGATGAATGATTGGTCTGCCCCTTGCTCCCCTCCCTCACATACACACACCCCCATCTCCTTTGTAGGTAACCACGGAACTATGTGAAAAAGAGGCAGAATCCGCTTTAAAAGGAAAGTTATGGAGGGGAAGTCTATTCTTGATTCATTAGTTTTCCTCTTCCCGAAATTAAAAGCAGAGGGAAGAGAGCGGAAGCCAAAGCATTTTAGAAACAAAGGGCAGAATAGCAACACCGTGAGTCACAGTAAATTTGTCCCCGCCTTTCTCACCAGATGTGGAATGGAGTAACTTTGGGGAAAAGTTGCTGGCAGAATGAAAGTTCTGGGTAGGAAAAAAAAGGAACCTGGTGGAAAAGCGCTCCTACGTATGAGGACCTCGCTTTTGTGCTAATAGTATAAAGGGGACCTAATATTTAATTAGGAAAAACAAAAAAAAAGGTTTTTGCTACTCAAGTTTACTTCTTGCTGTCTCTCTCCCTGTCATAATCTTTACACCAACAAATATCCACGATAAATGTTGGAAGGTACGGATTCCTTTGGGCTTTCATTTTACTACTCAAATAGAAACTGGGAAAGACTGGTAGAAATCTTAAGATTTAGGAACTAAATGAAGTACTATTGCTCTCCAAAATGATCATACGGGCTCTATCAAGAAAAAAAAATGCGAAAGAGAGAGATACTATTCTTAAGCGGGGACAGCATAGGTTACTGAAGTAATTGCCAGTTAACTCCAGGGAAGTTACACAGTGATTCTGCAGAAAGCACTTCTCTTCCAGTAAGTTAAGACCAAGTCATTAGTCAACTCTTAGAACAATGCTGCTAGTTTCCAGGGAGAGCAGGAATAAAGGAGTTTTCATTTATAGTAGGTGATTTTGGCTAACCTGATGATAGTTGGCAGAAAGCCAGTGGAGCACCAGCTGTGACAGGTCCCACCAAGCTGATTCTGGTGTTCCTTTGTCCAAGGACCAGTATACCTAAGTATGGAGAGGTTCACTATCAATTGAATTTTTGACTACAGCAGCTTCTATGACTTTTTAAGTCATGGAAAAATTGTGACCAGCTTCAGTGGTGGAGGGAATATATATTGATGAAATAATAGGTCAGTGAAAAATTGGGTTAAACCAAGGAAAGAAGATCTCAACCAACATCATAGCTTTCAAAAGAATAAAGACAACATAAAGCTAATTAGCAGTTTTTGATCAGTGAACAAAAAGCCCATCACCTAAGAAGATGTTTGTAAACTGCACAGCTCAACACTCTGAATAAAATCTTTAAAGCCTGAACTTACTTCAGACATATAATGAAAAGTCTTCCAAATTCAACAGAAAATAAAAAAAATTAAAAAATCCCAAAGTATTTAGAAGTTAAAAAATTCTGTAAGCCAATTTTGAAACAATGATGAAGGACTAGAGCTATTTGTAAACGACTTTCTGAAGAGGGCATCAGAATTAGAAAGTATTGTGATAAACTCGACTTGACAAAATTACTTAGTGTCTATTACGTGCAAAGTCCTTTGCTAGGTATTGGTATAATAACCTCAAATAATAAAATGTATCTTCTTCCTCACTGCAAAGAGGTGAAGGACTAGTAGGACATAATGTTGTATATCTTGTGAAATGTTGTCACTGGATTGAACGTTTTCCATTAATAGTTTTTCTTTGTCACAAAGGAGGATGCCTTCTGAGGGAGAAGTTGAAAGGACTATAATGTAAAAGACAAAAGGCATCAATAGATCACATTTTATAAACAAATTAATAAGAGATACCCTGTAGTTTATGGAAATATGTAACTGAATTTGTCGCAGCTTTATTCAGAATGAGTAGAAGCTTTTTTCTCCCCAATAATTGCTTCAACTTTTCATAACCTCCTCCAATTTGAGGGTCTTAAATTCAAACAAGGTTGTGTGATGTATAAAGAGTTCAAGAGACATAGTTCTTGGGTAATTAATCATTTTATTAATCATGCTGGTAGTAATTAATAAAAGGGGCCAGTGACACTCTGGAAGGCCAAAGACCTCTCATGGAACCCACTCAACACTTGTATGCCTTTAGAAGAATGGGTGTTCCTGAGGTGGCAATTGACTGTGATTGGTTAACAAGTAATGAGAGAGAATGAATATTATAATGAGAGGTGAACCTATTCTAATGAGGGGCTGGAGGACCTAACTTTGATCACTCAGACCTATCTAATTAGAATACAATGGGACAGATTTTGCTCAGATTAGATTGAATTCTTTGTCAGGTTCTCTAGTTGGATGAGGTTTCCACCCCCCCATTTGAGCAATCTCATCTATCAACAATGTCCTTTACAGACAGAACAACCTACAGGCTTCTGAGAAAATCCTGGTCCTAATTCAATAATTGATTATTAATATGAGAGAAATATTCATTTCTTTCAGTTGCTAAAATTCAAGTTTACATCTAGTTAGGTAGACACTGTATACCAGCAATTTATTGTCAATTTCAAAATTATAGAGAGTAAATGAGTTTATGTGGACTGAAGCGATGAACCCAAATCAGATAATGGCACTCAGGGATAGTTTTCTGGAATAGGTATGTTGAGATCTAAAGTTTTGTTTTAGATCAAATGTTTTAAAGGAAGTGATAAATGGATAAATGAAGTGCAGTAGGGAGGATTTTCTAATTCTAAAATATGTTAATCTTCTCCAAAGTCTTGACTAATTCTCTTTATCTTTCTGCAGTTTTGGATAATTGAACTAGTTATATCTGGTGCCTTTCTAGCTAATAAGGTTTTAATGAGAGTGATTTTTGAGCTCATCAAAAGAAAAAATAGACATTTGTAGTTCAAAATTTACTTATCATAGAAATTGATGAGGCTCTTTTTACTCCATCTCCAAAGTGAAGATTAAAATACAGCTAAAAATAAAGAGGGGGAGGGAAAGAGAAAAAGGAAGGGGAAGAGGGAGAAAAAGAGGGAGAGGAGAGAATAGGGAGAAGAAAAGGGAGAGAAGAAAAGTATGAGGGGAAGTAGGGGAAGAAAGAGAAATAAAGAGAGAGAAGAAAGGGAGAGGAAGTTGTAAATGCAGAGTGGCTAGAGTGCTGGGTCTGGAGTCAGAAAGACTCATCTTCCTGAGTTCAAATCCTGCTTCAGACACTTAGTTGTGTGGCTTTGGGCAAATCACAACCCCTCAGCCTCAATTTTCTCAAATTTGGATGACAATAATATCACCTGCCTTACATGGTTACTGTGAGGATCAAATGAAATAATATTTGTGAAGCACCTTGCAAATCTTAAAGTGCTATACAAATGTTAGCTATTTTTGCCTCTAGCCTCTAACAGATTGCTTGCCACACAGCAAGTGCTTAATAAGTGCTTGTTGGTTTAATTGTATAGAAGGCATTATCTTTGACTTGACTTTGACTAGGATAGCATAAATACATAATGTTTGAAATG